CTTGAAAATAATCCCTCCACATTTCTTTGTGAAGCTGTTTCGCTTTTTCTCGTTTGTAATAATCTACTATTCACTATTTTAAAAGTAAAATCTCGTGTTTTTCCTGCTTATAAAGTTTTGATCTGGCAGGCGATAGATTAGGTCTGAAAGGCTTAAATGTATATGACTAAGGATACGGATTAGGAAATGATCAAAAATTAATGTAATTAGCTTAACATGGATCATAAGATAAAGTGTTCTAGGTGAACACAACCAAGCATGCGGTATTCAGCAAAGAAATTACGAAGCATATATATTTTTCCTCAGAGTTAAAACGAGTAAACTATTTTAGGTATATAAAATTAGGTATGAGATGATCAATTTCCAGGACGTTTGCAATTTCTTAGAAGCAATTAAGGCAGTTATTTGCAGGTATTAAAAAAACATGTCGCAACTTTTTAAAATACTTAAAATTTATTTATTTTCTTTAAGTTCTTCTTTTTACATTATTGTTACCACCACAGATAGGGAATCTTGTGGCTCATACTAATTTATGTAAAATACTCAGCATAATTTTCTTTTTGAATTTATTTTCTAAAATTGAGGTCAAACCTTTGGTATTTATTATTTCAAAAAACCTTGGACTGAGTCAAGATGTGCGGCCCCAGTATCTCCCCGATTCGGCGGTCTTTATGGTATAGTCTAAAATTTGTCATATTTACCTATTTAAAGCACCTATGTACCTTGTTTTTTGGTCGTAATAATGTTAAAAATCTATATTTTATTCATTGTTACAGTTTATATTTACTCCTAGAGAATTAATCCTAATGGAAACGCGCCCCCAAAAGAGGAAAGCTGTTCGCCGCAGTTCTGCCAATTATTATATAACTGCAGAAGATCACGTAGATAACGAGGTTAAACATGAACGTCTTTTGACAGAGACCTCCCGGCTCTCGTCTTCTTGGGCAAGTCTTCGTCTATCTGGGCTTGACAAGGGCGATAGCTCTGATTACACAGACTCACTTCCCGGATCAGCTGGCAGCAGTCCCACACCACAGCGTCCTCACTCTTTCAGTGGGCCACTTGTAATTTCTGTAACGTGTTCTAGCTCTGGCAATATAAGTTGTGCTAATCCGGTAGCCTGTATTAATTCTGGATACGGAGCCTCTCCTTCCAGCCCAATCTTGATGCTGGGTTCTCCGTGTCATGCTTCGCCAGCAGCTTCTCCTGTTTCATCTAGAGTTCAATGTTATTCACCTGGAATTGGTCCTACTTGTCCTTTCCTTTCTTGCAAAAAATCATATAGCAATGGAAACAGCGCTAGTCCTCTCTTTGTAACGACGACAAGGCGAAAGCGTGCTTACCCTACCATTCTTTCATGTGGTAATTCTAGCACCGAGGCAAGCCGCGAAAGCTCTCCTGATCCTTTTCCTGGACGTAGCGTGAAAACGATTCGTCCTTCTGAGCCATGTTCTACGAGGATATCGTTAGTTAATTCCACTGTCCCTCCGGAAGTGCTCGCATCATTTCGCTGGCCCCCGATGCCCCCATCTGCTCCATTCCCTTCCAGTCCGTCTACTAGTCATTCTTCGGTTGGCAATTCAGGTTGCTTAAATGCTCCTAGTAGTCCTTCAACTGCAAGCTTACCTTCTCCTCGTCTCTCACTTACATCAAGTGCCAGTGCCATCCTCACTTATCCTAGCTCTCCGTCTGCTTCCTTGATTGGATCATCAGATATTCCATTTTCAATAAACACAAATAATGGTTTGCGTTCTCAGGCCGACGCCTCTTCCGATTATCCTAAATGTGAGCAACATGATTCAGTTAGCTCGCCTCCCTTAGATCATGCTGCTTCTCCCACTGCCTTGATCCTCTCAGATAGTTTATGGGAAAATGAAGAAGACCATGACTCATCCATTCGTATGTAAATTGGTTCTTTATATTATTGTTTACACATTTATCTCTGATGGCTCTAACCATATCTCTTATGATTCATTCGTCTACCCATCATAGCTAGATCATCTTTAGATAACCTAATCCATTTAGCTTTGCACTAACTCATTCAAATATATTCGACTTATTTTTGCATCTTGGCTGATGTATGCAGATACTTTTGAGGCTTGATTATTCTTTGTAATGTCTTTTAATTGTCCAGGCGACGGCTTATTTTAGTTTCTTACCGAGTTCCGAGTTTTTCTTTTTTATTTCAGCTCTTTTTGTTCGCATTCCTGCTTCTGTTTCAGGCCTTATTGTCATTCGTCATATCAGCTAAAATGACAATCGACCCTGTTTTTTATTTTTCACTGGCCATATCTGTAAATACATCGAGTATCCATATCACCTATTTCATACCCCAATACTTGAACCTATGTATAGAAATTCTCTTGGACCCCTTTTTGTTTTGTTTACAATTTCCTAGCAGCCTCTTCAGAGCTTTTCGGTCCATTTAGTCGTCTATTCAGCTGCTCCGGTTTATGGTATTACTAGCCCCACAAAATATTAAAGTTAAATGCTAGGGGTTCTTTAATAGATTATGTATGATAATTTCTGACTTAACTTATTTGATACAATTATATTGGATCCGAGCTTGAATTTAAATTCAATTCTTCTTCCATATGTAAGCCATTTAGTGCGCATTTTATTTTTCTATGAATTATAATAGGCCTCATTTTAACTTTGGATGTTTATTTGTTATATTGGTTCATCATTAGCCTAATCTTTGACCTCGTTTTCGCTACTTGGTCTGAGCGACAGGGAGACCTTGTGGAACTTGCTTTATCCTACGTCCTGTGCCATAATATCAATCATGGTTTCCAGCTTAGGATCGTTGATTCGGCACATTCCCAGACATTTCACCGGCATCGTCACTAATAACCACTATTCTTGGCACAGTCACAACAATGACGGTGAAGCGTCGGAGAATGTACCAAGTCAACAATCCTATGCTAGAAATGATCATGAATACTATGACCGAGGACGTGGGACCAGGTGCGCTCCTAAAAGGTCCTGTCCGACCAAATTGCAAATACTAAGTCAAGCCAACACTAGCTAAACGAGACTGCGACCAAACAAAAAGTCACCGTCTTTGTCTTCACATCTACTACGTTTTTTTCGCTTATCCTTTTGTAGGTAAAATTACGGAAATCAGTGTTGTAATACATTGTTAGGGTTGTGCTGCTTATTGACCTAACGGAAAGTCGCTGATTGTTGCATAATAGGGTTT